GATCTGTGTCCTTGGTTACCCAAATATCAGCCAAGACTTGATGAAGGGTACAACAGAAATGACTCTGTTTATTTGGTCACACGTGGTTTTACAGACACTGATCCCTACATTGGGTCTCCAACACTATACAACAGGGGTTTCAATCCCAGGAAGCTGATGGGGGAGGGAGGAGAGACAAAGCATCTAGTTTAAACTGGGCTGGCAGTTTCCCTGCTAGGACAGGAAAAGAAAGGCAGAGGGGGAGAGGCATAGACAAGCAATACATTCAACAAAAGGAAGGGGGAAGGAGAGAGGCACTGACAAGCAATACATTTAACTTAACTATACTTTACAGAGCTGCTGCTCCCCCTCCACTCCCCCTTGTTGACCCACAGCTGCATATACAGACACATGTAAAATAGTCACAAAAATGGCACTGCAAGCTTGTGGCCCTCGCCAAATAAATCAGGCCATCCATCACACCCCTCCCCCATAGAAATAGACAGACCTGTGGTCAGACCCACGACGGGTCTGCAAAAAGTTGGTTGGACCCCCTTGAGTCCACAGTCCAAGTCCTTGGGGTCCAATGTGACTGGACAAGGGGGTTAACAAGCACAGAGGTGGTCTGCAATTCGTGAGTCTGTTCGGTTCCTGAACAGTACAAATGAACCCCATGAACTAAGTCTTTTTACAGGGTCTTTCCATGGCCCATAGTCCTGAGGCAGGAGGCTGCTAGCAGGCTCCTCCAAGAGCTTGTGACGAAGGCAAGTTCGTCACACAAAACTAATATGGGGTTTTATAATAAGGGGTTTCTAAATACCAGATTGCAGACAATTTAAAAATCTAATTGCAAAATGTAGGTTACATTTAGGTTAAAATAAGAAAGCTTTGTTTATAGCTGACTTGTAGAAGCCAACACTTTGTCTAAATTTTGCAGTTCTATCTTTAGTTCATAGACAGACACAAACACACACATGCATAAGGAGTTACAGACAGACATACATACAGGGGTCAAGTCCTGGGGAAAAAAGTGTGGGAACTCACCCAAGATTCCCGCCGTCCCCCCCCCCCTTTAAAAAAAAGTACTCCACTATGCATATAGTGCAGTGCAGGGTGTGTATAATGAATGTAGTGTGTTTATGAGTGAATGCAGAGTGTGTATAATAGATACAGTGTGTTTTTAATTGAGGTGCAGAGTGTGTGTACACTGAGTGGTGTGTTTGTAGTGAATACAGGGAATTATTGTATAGTGAATGTGGTATTATGAGTAGTGCAGAATGTGCATAATGAATGCAGAGTGTGTATAGTGAATGCAGAGTGTGTATAATGAATGCAGTGTGTGCGTGTGCTGGATGATGTGTGTGCGCGCGCTGGATGACGTGTGTGTGCGTGCTGGATGATGTGTGTGTGCGTGCTGGATGATGTGTGTGTGCGTGCTGGATGATGTGTGTGTGTGTGCTGGATGATGGGTGTGTGTGTGCGTGCTGGATGATGGGTGTGTGTGTGTGAGTGAGTGCTGTGTATGATGTGTGTGAGTGCTGAGTGTGATAGTGCTATTGTATGATGTGTGTAGGTGCTGTGGCCTTGAGTGTGTATGAGTGCTGGGTGTGATAGTGCTGTGTATGATGTGTGTGAGTGCTGTGTATGATGTGTGTGAGTGCTGGAGTATGATGTGTGTAGCAGGTGCTGAGTGTGATAGTGCTGATTATTATGATGTCGAGGTGCTGTGTGTGGGTGCTGGAGTGTGATAGTGCTGTGTATGATGTGTGATAGTGCTGTGTATGATAGTGCTGTGTATGATGTGTGTGAGTGCTGAGTGTGATAGTGCTGTGTATAAGTGTGTGAGTGCTGAGTATGATGTGTGTGAGTGCTGAGTGTGATAGTGCTGTGTATGATGTGTGTGAGTGCTGTGTATGATGTGTGTGAGTGCTGAGTGTGATAGTGCTGATGTGTGATAGTGCTGAGTGTGATGTGTGTGAGTGCTGTGTATAAATGTTGTGTGTTGGGGGGTAAATAAACAAATAAAAACCTAAGTGGGAATAAATATACAAATAAAAAAAAAATAAGGGGGGTAAATAAACAAAAAAACTAATCATGCATTATATTCCCCCCCCCCGTCCCCTCCCCTCCCTCCTTACCTTTAGCCTGAGAGGAGGAGGGGTCCGGCATGCTGGTGAGTGGGGGGGTGGGGGACCGGCACTCGCACACGATCCCTGGTGGTCCAGTGGTGACTCTCGCGAGATCGGGGCGTTGCCATGGCAACGCTCCCGATCTCGCGAGAGGAGCCCGGCGGAGCTGCAAGTTAGAGCTCCGCCGGGTCCTCTCCCTCCCCAGCCGCAGGTCTATTTAAATGGGCCTGTGAGGGAGATCTTTGATCTCCCCACCGGCCCTCCATGGAAGACAGTGGGGCCGGCGCTCGGATAGCCCCGCCGGCCCTGCATAGACCGGCAGGGGATGTCCTGGGACCTCCCCTGCCGGCCTCGGCCCATGGCCACTGCGGCCCACCGGGCATTTGCCCGGTGTGCCCGATGGCCAGTCCGGGCCTGGCTTAGGATAATAATAATATGCCGAACCAGCGACACTGGCAGCTATCAAGGAGCTCATGGGGGACCTCCGCCTTGGCGTCGTGGAAGGCACCTTGCAAGAGCACACTTGAATTATCACAGAGCTGCAACAGGTGGTG